TTAAAGTTAAAGTCCTGCAATCCGAAGAGATAAGAGATGAGAGTAGAGTAAAAAACCTGATAAAATTATTAAAAAATAAAGTGAAATCGAAATAAACTCCAACCATTTAAAATTAAAGCTAATTTAAAATATTATTAAATACTATAATAGTAGATAAATAATAGTGAAATAACACAGACAAGATGAGAGTCAAGACGAAAAAAGATGAAACAAGATGATTTGTGAACAGATGAGAAGAGAGCTATGTTGAGACAAAAGGAGAACTGAAGAGATGAAGTGAGATTACAGGTGAGATGATAAAATAATGAGACATGAAGAGATGAGAGAAGAAAAGTAGTGAAGAAACCAATCAAAACAGAAGAGAAGATATGAGACGTGAAAAGATATGAGATGAAAAGAGATGAAGAGATGACAGGGAAAAAAGAAGAAAAATCTAAACAGAAGAGAAGGGAAGAGAAGATGAGAACAACATGAGAAGAGAGGAGACTAGATGAAACAAGAAGAGATGAGGTGATACGAGAAGAGACGGGACAAGATGAGATGAGACGAGACATATAGAGATGACAATAAGTAAAGAAAGAAATAAAAGCAGAAGAGCGATACGAGACGAGAAGAGATGAGAGAAGATGAGACAAAGAGATGAGATGACATGAAGAGATGACAGACGAAAAGAAGTGAAGAAACAAATCATGAACAGAGGAGAAGGGAGGACAAGATACGAGATGAAAAGAGATGAGACAAGACATGAAGAGATTAAGTTATGCCTGAAGAGATAATGGAGGAAGTGAAGAAGCAAACCATAAACAGAAGAGACGGGAAGAGAAGATACATAAAGAGAATATATGAGAGAAAAAGATACAAGATGAGAAGCTATGAGACAAGATGTGACATGAAGAGATGGCAGAAGAAAAGAAGTAAAGAAACAAAATAGAAGAAAAGATACAAGATGAGAAGCTATGAGACAAGAAGAGAAGAGACAAGACAAGATGAGACAACAAAATATGAGAAAAGATTAGATGTAACATCAAGATGACAGATACAAGACAAGACGAGAAGAGAAGAGAAGAGAAGAGAAGAGAATATACAAGACGAGACGATGAGACGAGACAAGATGAGACAATAAAAGATGAGATGTAACATGAAAAGATGACAGAAGAAGTGAAGAAACAAATCAAGAGAAGATAAAGAGATGAGACAAGATGATAGATACAAGAGAAGAGAAGAGAAGAGAAGAGAATATACAAGACGAGACAATGAGACGAGACAAGATGAGACAATAAAAGATGAGATGTAACATGAAAAGATGATAGAAGAGGTGAAGAAACAAATCAAGAGAAGATAAAGAGATGAGACAAGATGATAGATACAAGACAAGAGAAGAGAAGAGAATATACAAGACGAGACGATGAGACGAGACAAGATGAGACAATAAAAGATGAGAAAAGATTAGATGTAACATGAAAAGAAGACAGAAGAGGTGAAGAAACAAATCAAGAGAAGATAAAGAGATGAGACAAGATGATAGATACAAGACAAGACGAGAAGAGAAGAGAAGAGAAGAGAAGACAGGACAAGACAAGAGAAGACAAGAGAAGAGAAGACAAGACAAGACAAGAGAAATGGAAGAGAATATACAAGACGAGACGATGAGACGAGACAAGATGAGACAATAAAAGATGAGATGTGACATGAAGAGATGACAGAAGAAGTGAAGAAACAAACAGAGAATATACGAGACGAGAAGCTAAAAGATGAGAAGAGAAAACAAAAGATGAGATGTGAAGAGATGAGGTGATACAAGAACAGATGAAAGAAAGGAAGTGAAGAACCGAGCCAAGAGAAGAGCCTGACAGGTGTCGTCACCTTTGACCTCTGACCTCCGAGAGGCTGCAGCGCTCTTCTCTGTCATTCTGAGTCCTGAGCGAACGCGCGGAGCCGGTTTGAGACAGAGCCTAAGCGCGGTGCGTCTGCGCTGTCACGTTTGTAAAATGATCATGTATTTGTAAAGAGGTTACGCAGCGCTAACGTGATTGTGTGTTTGCAGACTGAGGATGCATTTGAGAGCTGAATTCTGCGCTCGCCGAGGAGTTCTCCATCTCTGTCACGATCAGACGGACGACTCATCCGTCCTGGGAAATATTAGACGTCCAAACGCACTTGCACAGCATATAGTTAAAGAAAAAAGCAAGCTTTCACAACACAAGTGAAAACACACACACACACAACGGCTCTGCTCCGCCCACTTCCTGTAACCGTAATCAAACATCATGACATCCAAGGTGGGGGTGGATTCACTCTGACCTTTGACCTCTCCAGCTCCTAATATGACAGTGAGCTGCTTTTGGGACTGACCGCATCTCCCACACACTCACGTTTCTCTTTTACTACTAAATCTTGCACTACAACACAGACATCGAGAGATGAAATGGAAGCGTTTGTCCAGACTGACATATGCAGGGATAAACAGCCATACGAAACACATTTTTGAATCATTATTTTCCTGTAAATCTGCTTTTAAACAATCTGTATTGTATAAAGTGCTATATAAATAATGGTGACTTGACTTGAATTATATTAAAATAGTGTTGGAAATTAACAGTGAGATGGGGCAAAAATGTCACCAAAATAAACAAAAATGCCCCACTAATTCACGATAAGTGGGCAAGACATGGCCCTGCACAAACCAAATCTATTACAGCTGTAGCGGTTAAAAGGAAATGGGAATATTATTGAAAAGTGTCAATTCACATCATTACATTTAGATTTGGTCATGTTGCATCAGATTTCTTTACAAGTTTTTTGCAGCATTGAGCATCACGTGTTATTTTAGTATTATTTATATTCTATTACAGTTTTTATTCATATTTTGAATTAGATTTGTTTGTTTTCATTTTTATGTGCTTATGTCACTTTTGTTAGTATTATGCCATTATTATTAGTTTTATTAGTATTCTTGTTCTTTTTAAATATGAAATAATACGTTAAAAAATTTTTTTTTGGTTATTCAGCAATTTTAGTGCTAAAACATCAGTTTCTAATTTTTCCATCTAATATTTGTGCCTTATTTTATTTCAGCTTTATTTCAATGAACAAAACAGTTTTTTAATAGTTCTGTTGAATTCACTGAAGGGATGTTTACACAACCATTTTTTACGCGTTTTGGCCGTTTATTTATACGACAATGGAATCGTGGGAGGCTGAAAATGTGAACGTTTGAAAACAGACTTCAAAGTGCACGTTTTTGAAAACAATACCGTTATTGTTTATTGTAAACTACGAAAACACAAATTTGTGAAAATGGTGACATCACGAGCATGCGTATTGCACAGTCGCCAACTACTGGCCGAGCATGTATAATGCAGCGTTTTTTTGTCGTTTTCGCAGATTGTCGTCTGTATGTGAAACCTTTCAAAAGCACAACAGAAAAACTAATTCTGTTTTGTCCGTGCAGTAAAAATGACATGCCGTTTCCCCAAAAACACAAACATTTACGTTTTCAATCAATCTGAGATCAATCAATACACACACCAACCTGACATGCAGAGACAATAAAGACGTTTATAAAGTCACAGTTCTCATGCACGTCAGTACGGTTTAGCTGGTTAAGGAGGATTAACAGGAAACACTTTCATCACATTAAGGTGAGACACTGTTTATCTCTCCATCGATCCTCTCTCTATCCAAACATCCTTCTATCCAGTGTGAAAACCTACAATAATGAGCCAGTTTAGTTCTGTATTTCCCAATGAAAGAAACCTGTAGGCTGGAGCTTGAGTTTATCATTGTGAATTGATGCGATTTCCACATGTATTTGCACTGAATCATATAAATCTGAACAAAACAGAAGCATTTTGTAAAGCCATGCTATCTTGCACACACACACACACACACACGTCTGTAAAGCAATCACTGTTTCTAGCACTACTGAAAGGCAGCGTCTCTGCTGAAGTCCAGTCGGCTCTCTGCATCCAGTCAATAGCACAGACATGCTTGACGATTTATCATTTTCTACTCTCATTTTTCACTTATTGACATTGTTTTTCCATTTATTCTGCAGAATTAAATCAGGCGAACCGTCCGAGTTGAGAGCTGCCTGTGTCACAGACAGTCTTACTAAAATCCTGCGTCTTTACAGATTAATAAAGACCAGTTTTGAGCATATTGTATGCATCTTAATCTAATTTATATCCTAATCTAGTTGTCTAATAAACCTGGCATTGTATATTACAAATATTGTTGGCTCTTTGATTAATTGCTTTTGCTTCTCTTTTGTAAATTGCTTTGGATTAAAGCATCTGATAAATTCATAATATATAATATATATAATAGCCAAATAAATTGTTTATAGAAATTCTGCAATTTTATATTACAAAAATGACACCAGATATAATCTATTATTCAATAGGAGGTTACTATCATTAACTAAAAAAAAAAAAATCAATTTCAAAATTTTAAATAAAACCATTAAAACACTTTCATCACCTGAAATAAAATAAATATTGACTGAAAAAATACAATAAAATTACTTATTTAATTTCATAATTTCTCATTTAATTTGATGTACTCAAATAACTAAAATTAAAACAGAAATAAGAAGGCTTTCAACAACAAGCTGGAGTGAAAACATAACTATATCATTAAATATAAAATGATGTGTTGAGTGTTGATTATTAAACAAATTTGATTAATTCATTAAATTTTTGTCTAAATGAAAAATTAAAACTAAATTAATTTTGGTTTCGGTAAATTTCAATGCATCACTAGTTCTAAATAGTGATTTTCATTCATTTTTAAATTTCAATGTTAGTTTTATTAATTTTAATTAATTAATTTTAGTAAATCATGCTAAACAAAATTTTATTTCAAGTAATTATTTTTTTATTTACCCTTTAGTTTACTATAATAACCCTGGTTCCGTAGTCATTAGAAAAACACCTGAACAGAGAAAGGAGACTGAAATGAAACTCAGGAATTTGGCACTGTGGGAAAAACATCCATACCTGCAGTGATGTCATCATCCGTCACGTCCATCTCTTCCTCTGGAGCTTTGGTCTCGGTGGGCGGGGCTTCTGCAGGGGGCGGGGCCGGCTGGGCGGTCTCGGGGGCGGTTCCCGCTGCAAACAAACCAATCACAGAGTGAAAATTCAGTTGTTGCCGCGGCAACTAAACGGCATTTTTCTTGTCGCCTCTTTTCCGCAAACCTCGTTAAAAAGCTCATCAGGGTTTATTGGTGCTTTGTATTATCGAGGCTTTATTAAGCTTTAGCGGCTGATTACCACCATTTCCATTCCGCGCCTTCATTCAGCGCTTATCCTGGAATTACCAATTAAAATAAGCTTTTCATTAAAGAGGCTGCAAATTAATCAATGCTGCTTAAAGGTGAGAATGAGCTAATCTAGACGGTGCGCTAATTAATGAGACCCCCAGACCCCCGCCAATCCTCGGCAGAGAGAGAAACCGGACTGAGCTTTAAACTCTGTCAGACTGATCACGATCTGATTGACAGAACAGAGAGAAAAACACACGCAAGAGCAGAAAAACAAACCCGCTCTGACAGGCCAATGCAATGAGAGATATTTGCATTAACACAGTCCAAAAAAAAAAGTCACTACCATTTTTTTTTTAATTAAATGAAAAGCAAAATAAAAAATAAATAAAACAAAATCAAAATAATAAATAAAATACATTCTCATTATTGCAATGTGAAAAAAATGTTACCTAAATTGAAAGTATTTATACTTAATTGACCTTAATTTGAGCTGATTTAAAGAAAATGTCGTATTACAGTTAAGAGAATATGAGAATCACCACTGACATCATTTTTAAGTTTATTATTATTTTTAATGGACAATACTGACTATTCCATGTGTGTAACTAATATTAGATGAAAAAGTGAAACTGAAATAAAATAAGTTGAAGTTAAGTTAATAAAACTAATAATACAAGCTAAATATAAAAATACTACTAAAATGACTAAAAACTAAAATAAAACTAATTTACCATTATTATCATTATTTTAATTTTAGTCAATGCTTTAGTAATTTTGTTGTGTTTGTCATTTTTATTATTTTTTTTTATGTCTATATAGTTTTTATATAGTATTTAGTTATTATTTTTATTTTTGAATTGACTGTTTTAATTATTTTATTTAGTTATAATAATTATTATATAATTATTTTTATTCAGTTAAACTAAATAAAAAAGCTGCCTTGCCTAGATAAAATAAAATAAATTAAAGTTTAGTTCAGTTTATATATATATATATATATATATATACACACACACACACACACACTAATTTATTTATTTTTGTTTTTATGGTTTTAGTTTTAGTTAACTATAATAACCCTGGGACAAACAGGCGCAAGATCAGACTCCCAAGTAAATTAAGTCTAATATTAAAAATTAATTATAAGAGAGCATCACAATCACATTGCATTTTCTTTACAGAAAAGGCAATCCCACAATGCATGGCAACCATATCCGAGAATAAAATACACCCAATTTGACAAACAATCACTTTTAAATAGAAATTCCATTTGATCATAAAAGTAACATTTAAAATCGTTACAGTTAAACATATTTGGAACACATTTGCAACATTAGATGTTCCAAATCACTCACTTATGAGGTTCCAATTTCAAAGATAGTAAATAAAATATGGCTTATTAGTGTCTGGTAAAACACCACCCCATCTGAATATTATAGTGAATTCATGACCTGAACATTAATTATAGGAAGTCACCACCACAGTGTTTGATTTTTTAAGCGTGATAATGTGAGCCAGACGGTTCACGAGTGTTCGTTTTGACGGCTTGAGCTGTGATTGTGAGTTTTGTGTGTCTTCAGTGAGGCATATAAACACAAGACGACTTCACAGCGTGATACCAACACACACACACACACAGAGACACACAGAGCAGCTCATAATTCAGAGATGCTGTGTCGGTTGGGTGAGATCGGCCTCCAGCAAGGTCAAACGGCCGTGTCAAGCATGACACAGTGCTTCCAGCCGGCCTTGTTAACCCCATCCATCCTCCCTCTGCCTCCACCCTTTGTGTGCTCACAGGGGACCGCTCTCAGATTCAGCGCAGCTTCTCAGCACAACCTGACTGTGATTTCATTCACACGCCACACACCGACCACATTATGACGACCAGCGTGTCAACATTACAGGAACAAAAGGACACCGAAAACACAATGGAGTGAGACCGGTTTCTCTCTTTATCCGAGACAATACATGATTCAAGCTTGTGCTGGAATGCTTTCTGAGCCTCTTTAAAAGGTTCATCATTCATTTCAGATCATAAAAATAAATTAGGTTTTTAAATGTATCTAAAAATAAAAATAAACAAAAAAAATTAAAACATAAGTATCCAAAAAGCAACCATTTAAAATGTTTGATTTGATCATAAATATATGTGCTGTGAATTTTTATGCTTATTAGAGTATTGTATTTGCATACTTAAATTATATACTAGAGAATGCAGAACTAAAAATATAAAATGCAAAAAAATAAATGTAATAAAACAAAACAAAATAAAACAAAAACTTCCATGCAAAGCAAATTTTAATAAATCTTCACACCAGGATTATTACTGTTAACTAAAACTAACATTTCATTAGCCGAAATAAATGTTAACTGAAATAAAATATAAATGAAAACCTATTTTATTTCAGCTAGTTGCCAAGGCAACATTTCTCATTTTCAAGTTGAAGTACTAAAATAATAATAATAATAATCAAAATAATAACGTTTAATATTTTTAATAATAATAAAAGTATAGTAAATTTTTTTTAAGTATAATAATATTTAATAATAATAAAAATAGTAAAACATATATAATCCTAATTGAAAATAAATTACAACTAAAATACAAAATGAATAAAAAAAGTAAAATAAATAAATAAAAAATAATATAAAACTGAAAAAGTAATAGAAAATTATATACATATTAAAAATATATTTTAACAAAATTATTAAAACTTCAACTAAAATCAAAGTGAAAACAGAAAATATAACGAATTCTAAATATATATAAAAATTATTATAGTATGTAATAGTATATACATATATTGCCATATAATGAAAAGGAATGGTGACTAGATCTGTCAAGCTTCAAAAAAGACAAAAATAAAACCGGTCCTATGCATTATATTCCAAACCTTATGAGGTCATATGACAGCTTTATCTGAGGAATATCCTGCAATTTTAGTTGCAGATCTCAAATCTCATTCGTTCTTGCACATACAGGATTCACACTTAATATATCATACATCAATCCAGATTCATTGCCAGTAATACCAAAAGGCATTAGTTTATCATCTCGTAAATGATCATAATTCATTATGCATTAAGAATTACTGCATTAAGAATGAGCATAATGCAGCGATGCATTAAGAATAAGAATGTTTTGTGTTTTTACAGTCTGAGGCCAGAGACTGAACTCTTCTGAAGGGAACTGACAGCTTGTCACGGATGCTGTCGATAGAGCTTAAGTTGTAAATAACCCAGAATATTCCTTGAAGATAAACGGCTGGTCTGGAGGGTTTTTAGCGTGAGTGTGAGTGTGTGTGTGTGTGTGTGGATGGCGTTCAGCCTCAGGGTGTGTGTGCGCGAGCTGTGTGGGATTATAGAGGCACATCCGCAGGCCGGAGCGCTCTCTCACGGAAGAACCGCCCGAGGACTGGTTTAATCACCCGCTCATCCGTCCCTCCCACCGCTCATCACCCCAGGGGATGCTGGGAAGGGTAAATCCCAGCCCTCAACATCCTAACAGGGGAGCCAAGCTTGAGGAGCGAAGGTGAGGGAGAGAAAGAGGAGGCGTGTGAATGAATAGATAGAACAAGCCAAGTAAGGAACAAATAAAATAATCTACAATAAAAAATATAAAAATAAAGTAAATAACCAAAGGAAGAGAATAACACAAATTAAATAAACGACAATGAAAAGGAAAAAATAAAAATAAATAAATAGTACAATAAAAAAATCCTATTAAAATTAAATAGATTGAAAGACAAATTCAAAGAAAAATTAAACAAATATAATATAATAGTTAAAATCTAAAAAAAAAAAGAAAATAAAAAGGTAAAATAAAAAGAAAAACAAAGGAAGAAAACAGCACAAATAAAACAAAAGAAAAATAAAGAGAAAAATAAATATAATAACTAAAATAAAAACACAATACAATAAAATATATTTAAAAATTTCAATAAAATAAAAACACAACATACAATACAATAAAATTAAGTGTTACGATATAAAAATAATAAAAAATAAAAATAAAAACAAATAAAATAAAATAAAAAGATAAAATATAATAGAAGTACAAAAAAATAAATAAAAAGCAAGAGAATACAAAAAAATAAACAAATAAAATAAACAACCAAAGGAAGAGGACAGCAAAAACAAAACAAAGGAAAAATAAAAGAAAATATTTTTTAAATAAAATAAAAATAAAATATCCAATAAATTAAATAATAATTAAAAATACATAAAATAAAAAAAGTTAAACAACAAATAAAGAAAAACTAAACAAAATAAATAAATCAATGAATTTTACAAAATCAAATATTAATGATTGTGATGTCAAAGGTTTCGGAATAGTTTCTGCAACAATAACTCCTAAAAGTTACAAGTGATGGAGGGAGGGTGAGAGAACGCAAAAGATGAGGAAAAAAGGACAGCAGTCATTCATTCATTCAGATGATCAAGGAGACAACAGCTGCCTGAGCGAGCGTTTCTTTCTGTGTGTGTGTGTGTGTGTGTGTGTGTTTGAGTGAAGTTCATGGAGGTCTGCTTAATGAAGTGACGGGTGAATAGAGCCCAGAACAGAGGATCACACACACACACACACACACAGACACACACACACACAGTCAAGCATGAAGTCTAGTCCCCTCTGCAGCCTGGAAACTAAAATGAAAACAATAAAAAAAAAATACAGTAAAAACA